AGCGCGATAAGTTGAAAGAAGCACGCTTCAATTACATCATGCAGTAGTCACGCAAGCATGCACGGAGCACATTGCACATATAGATTTTGTTTTACATCCACCTTTGTTTACCAAGAATCCTTCAAATAAGCTGCTCAAGCGAGAGTAATGCAAGGTGATTAGATTATAGAGACTTACATATGTGTATGAATCATGCCATGCTTTTAAGTGCACGGTAGCATGAAGCAGGCAAGCTTAAGTAGCATGATCTGAACTCGTATGGTGTAGAGTAAGGTCATCAGACAATTATGATCAATCAGCGAAAAGACATTGTGCATTGAAATGATATCAAGGCAAGGTCTGCAAGATTGTTATCCCAATTTGAATGCCAAAGGCGAATCATTTCCTCTTAGGGTAATCGGCGCCCCTCAGTATATTGTCTAACAGGATAGTGTGTGCCTAGTGCCCACAAATGTAAGTGACCAAATTATGGAATGCCGGAAAAAGTTCAATAGCTATAGTAACTGAAAGCTGGTGTAAACAATGCTAAGCTTACTACCAAGCTTACTACCGGTATGAGCTTACCACCAAGCTTACTACCGGTATAATTCGCGGCATTTTATACCAGTGACTTCAGGTTATTTAATTATAAATTTATCAATTTAAAGATAAATAAAGTGAAACCTTGAAGAGATACGCTTAAACACTCATGGTATGTAAGGTTTGTATGTCTTGAGTGAAAGATGCTTAATAATCTCACTACTGTGGGCACCACATTTCCTCGTTCTTACGCTTAACTTCTGTTTGAGTGCCACAAATCTTACGTAATAAATCCATATAGGACCCATCTTCCTGATGCCTCTGGGCGTTCCACCAAGCCGTCGCGGAGGCTGGAACCTTGGTCACGTGTCTGTTCAGCAAAGCCTGGTGTGTTTGAGTGTCGGTCTCGTGGTGGACGATCAGACCAGTCGGCTTCCTTGGCGGCCGATTAGCGGCGACTTTGGAGGGCCGTCATCCGGCCGCTCGCCGCACCGGATTGAGTACATGGCCAACGGCGCGCGCTAACTACTGTTTGGCACTGGCGCCCCCCGGCCCATCGCCAGCATCGCCCGCTGATAACAGCCGCATCCAGGTCAACTGCACCCATGCTGTGACGTTGCCTTGGTCAAAATGTCCTGATTACATAAGAGCCGTCATATTCCAGAAATTGTGAGCGTCGTTGACTGCTTAGACATTGACCTAGCTCGAGCCAACAAGCTTATCATTACATCTAGACTATTCGATCTGTGTTATCTAGAAAATGAATAGTGTGCATGGCATCGAATGAAAGAAATTATTCCTTTTAACTACCTTTGAAATTGGCATGCAAAGTATGTTAAGTGACGGAAACTATGTATTAAGTGACGGAAACTATGTAAATGCAAGCAATTTAATTAATTTCACGGTAGCTGACCGCTGGCTCTTTTTTTGTACCAACCCTTACTTGTACGACTGAAGAAACAACCATTGATGCAGTGTTCTATTGCGAGCTTAATTGTTTGATGCGTTTCCTATTGCGAGCATATTGACTTTGAACATGCTGGTCTATTTACGAAAAACGTTAAATGCATGTGTGCACTGTGTAGGTATCCTATTTTATTGAACATTTTATGCACTAAACGAGTAACCAACATGTCCTTATATTTGAGCGCATCCACATTCAATTAAAAACAACAAATAGCTCTGCAGCCTTGCATGCATGCCGCTTTCATACAGTGAACCTGGACAAAAACTTAATTTGAGAGTTGTGGAGCAACGAGAAGGTCTTCGACTAGTTATCGCCGTGGCGCCGGGCTAAAAACTGCCCCCGGGGAAAAAGTAGCCCTCCTTGGCAGCGGGGGACGGCGGCGCGGCGGTGGCGGCTCAGAGCGCTGTCGGCCGCGGGAAGGTGCGTGTGCAGGAGGAACAGTGCAGCAAGGCCATCACCGGTACCCGCTGCCACCCATCTTGTCTGACGGACGACCGGTCACGTGATCAGCAGCCGGAAGAGCGCCACGCGCGCGGTCAACCGGTGTGCTGCTCTGCTTCCGCCCCCCCCCCCCGCTCCCCCAGCCGTCACCTGCAACTGCGAGATTGGGCTGCAAGTTTCAGGCCGACAGTTTCTGAAGTGCACATTCTGACCTTTGGAGATTGTATCTAACAGAAGATCATGACCCATGAACCCAGAACTACACGACCTGTGCTCTCAAGTCTCAGTCGTTGAGTTGTAAGCTTGATACTTTTCTTTTGAGAGACATCTGAGTTTATCGGAACTGTGCCAGAATCGATGTTACTACTCGTTGCAGCCACGACATTACATCTAACAGGAAGGACGAACTAAGTCCGGTACATGAAGGAAAGTGTGGGACTTGAATTCTGGTGACAAATTCTTGCCTTGCAACTTCAGCATCGAGTGAAGAGGGCCGTAGTAAAACTAGTCGCTACTTCGCTTCTGTTGGGCCTTCAATGCCAGCCAGCCAATATGAGCGGTTTGTGATTAGTGGTGTTGTGACAACAAACTATCTGGGGCAAACAACACATTACTGCAATCATACTTAACCAATTGGTTGACTCCCGAAGGCCGTTTCTGCATGAAAGAGCCTCTTGTGGTTACGCCGCAGTGATTTTTCAACCAGGCTCCGGTGTTGTGGTCGGTGCTAGGATGCTAAATATGGCATTGGCATGCACTCGCGTCATTGGTGTTTATTAGACAGTTTTAGCTTTGCAGTCACCCAGTTCATGATCAACTCTATTCTGCTAGCGTGGGACTGACGAGCTGCACTCCAAGCTGATCCGCACAGTATTGCCACGGATCATAGAACGGATAGGCAACTCCCCCCGGCGACCTGTCTCCCCTGCCACCTGGTGGGCATTTAGGTGAACTATCTTCACTAAGGACGCGGCCGGCCTTATGCATGTGGGGGGCGTCGTGTCGGAGCTAATTTGGTGATTTTTCTGCGGAATATGGTTTCTCAGCTAGTTTAGAAGATATCTATGATATAAATGAGAATGGCAAGAATCGTTAGAGACGGGTAAAAAATTCAGCTTGTATCCTTTGTCATGAAAATCGTTGTTTTTAAACCCAGGTGGGCGACCTAGCGTTCCTAGCAAACTTGGTACTTTTCCGATCGTTGAGGGCTCCAATGTATATTCCATGAATACATTTTTGATAGATTTTCATCTAAAGATGAAATTTAATCTCTAAATTCCACAAATATTCTTGCATAAAGCCATGCGGCGTGGGTTCTATGAATTAGCCGGCCGAGGGGGAGGGCGGGTGCCGCCCTTCTCATAGTATTTATTTTTTGCGATAGCTCTGAACGTGCCGGCGTTAGAAAGCTGAAACTTGGCATACCTGACCTTTGATTCAAGCTGCATCTTACGACTTTAGTCGCATTTTCAGGTCAGGTCAGGTCACTGACTTATGTCGTCATAAGTGAACCGCTGTACGGTCCTCAGATGTCGCAGCTTCGCAACGTCCTCAGTGCCAGAGGAACTTGCACAAATAGATGAAATTTAAAGGATATAGTATCCTCCAGAGGTCTCTGAACTTTTATATCTCGGATTTTTCCTTAAGTCACATGAGGTCAGGTCGGTCACGTGACCTCACCATTAGGTATGGGAAAAATAGGGAAAATAAAAACTTCTATTTTAGCACCGGGAACGATCTCAAACTATATCAAGCACACGGAATCGTAATTTCTTTAACTCCTTGCAAGGTCCGAAATTCACTTTTGCATTGTTGATGTGACTAAGGTCATAAGTTTTTCGTCGATAACTCCCGATCAAATTGAGCCAGCGAGTCGGTTAAGTCACCAATGAACTCAGAAAGACCTGCCGAAGTATGCGACATGACCTCTTTCGACCAGCTTTGTGACCTGGGGAGGCGCTGACCTGACTTTGACCCGAGGTCAACACCTCAAGTTGACCTCACCCGAACAAAAAAAAAATATACCATTGGGTCGTACCTCCCCCCCCCCCCTCGGCCGATGCGTGTGTAGACAACTTATAGGTCCGGCGAGGGTTAATCTGTATAGGTTATTTTGAAAATTTTACCTCAAAATTTCAGATCGGTCAAAATCAGGCCATGACCTAATCGGTACATAATTTACCTTCACCCTCGCCCGTATATGGGGGTCGAGGTCGAACGGACACCCCCCCCCCCCGAGGGTTAACAAGCCCCTATTCCAGGGCCACTGGATGAGAGGATAGCAGGGATACATTAGAATGACAAAAGGCGGTCCGTGGCTCAACCAGCCTCGGGGCCAAGCCCAAAACTAAGGGGCACGCTGCTACCCAATATCATAAGGTATGACCGCTTCCGTTCATATGGAAACGTAAGCATTAGCAAACTGTTCACAATGTTGCCGTTTTAATGGAAACCGGCTAAATGTCGATACCTTGTAGCGACGGGAAGGAGCGTCTCGTGAAACAGGACCCGTGGGCCACTGAGTCATGTTTATGGCCAGCAAATCCATAGCAGCCACCCTTTACGACGTTATAACAGGTCCCGATTTTCCCGACCTTTGGGTCATTGACCTGACCTGGAAGGTCAACCGATAACCTAGGACCTTAAAATTGGGTATCATCGGCTTCCTCTCGTCACGGGCAACACGCTCGTTTTTTCCGCGAAGCTCTAGCTCGATCAGTGGCCAAACGGCAAGGGGGGGGGGGTCCAACGGACCCCCCCCCCCCCCCGCTTATACGTTCGCGGCTGGAAAAACACCAATACGGCCGAGGGTTAACATTGACATGTTTTAGTAACATTTCAGCTGTTAAAGACTCTCTAATTTAATGGTTCCCACCCGTTTCCCCGTGCCCTTTACATTGGGTGCGGAGACCGGCCGGCTCCCCTCCTTAGTGAAGATATCCGCGCCGCTAGATGGCAGCCCGCTCCGCGGGTACACCGATAACAATGGGCAGCGGGGGGAGTTGCCTATCCGTTCTATGATCCGTGGTATTGCGCAACACTGACCGGTACTAATCCGCGTGACCCAGAAACAGCGGGCGGTACTGCGGAAACGGACCTGGAAGTTGCCGCCGCGCATGGTGCCCGGCCCGCCAAGACCGGACCCCTCGTCCAGCTAACGGTACCGCCACGTCCGGCGCGCCGCTCGAGAAAGCCCCGACCTGATGGCACGAAGAGCCCCTCAGTCGCAGCGTGCGCCCCCCGCCTGCGCAATGGTCCGGCCGGCTTCCGGGCCGCGGTCGTGCGGCGATGGAGGTGATTCGTCAGAGGCGGCAGGCCCTCTCTCTGTCGCTCGCCGGCGGGGCAGTGCCGACTCGCCGTCCGGCACAGTCGCCTGCTTCCCCGGCCGCCGCAGGACCCGGCTCGGCATGGCGTCTGGGACCCCGCTGCGCCTGTACTCGGCCTGTGGTCGCCGGCTGGCCGGCCCAGCGCTGCGGCTGGTCGGGTTGGGCCGGGAGCTGGTCAGCCTGGTGGGCTGCATGAACTACCGCCGGGCGCTGGTCGTGCTGGCCCGCTCGGCGGTGGTCAGCGGCCTGCTGGCGGCGGCGGCCGGCGCCGGCCCGCTGCTGGCGCTGGTGCTGCTGCTGGTGCTGCTGCTGGTGCTGGTGCTGGGCGCGGCGGCCGGCTGGCGCTGGCCCGGCCCGCTGGAGCGGCTGCGGCGGTGGCTGTGCGCTCCGGCCAGTGCTGCTGACACGGACCTCCCCAGGTGAGACGGACCCCCTGCTGGCGCGGCACCCAGCCAGCCGACTGGTCCGCGGAGACCGCTGCTGAGTTACAAACTGGCGAAACTGAACGCGCCAAATCCCCGTACGAGGGGAGCTGCCAACAAAAGTGAAAACTGAGATAATTTTACTAATTTGCTCATTGGAGGGATCCTATTTCTGCTATAAAACAGTGGTGTTCGCCGATTTTCTTTCGACACGAGTCCGCACGATCAACAGCTCATCTTCATACATCATTTTATTTCTCAAGGTTTGGTAGTAAAAAAACATTGAATCTCTTCTATGATCGTTGCATGCAGTTGTATCTTATCTGACCAATACCTACTAGACAAGTGAAAAATCATGATTAGAAAGTAGTCACACTCTTCTTTGTGTTGTGAGCTAGATGGATGTTTGATTACGAGATCAACCAGCATAGGTTCAAGCAAAAGTAAATAATAATAGTACTTCAAGACAGGAAATTATTCGACAACTTTCAGCTCAATATTTCCTGTTTGCGGCGAAAGTAGTCGGTGAAATTGGTCAATGAACCTGTTTGGGTTACAGCACCCTCAGTCGGTCGCTATGGTCAATGGTGACACACTCGCGGAACCAGTCTAAAAATCCAGGGAGCTCAACGCCGGTCTGTGAATAGGCCATAGCTACGGTTGCAAGGTCCGGTACTACTCAACCATTGTTGCAGGATGAATACATTTGTCTTCCCCTTCCTTTTAGCACCGATCGCCAATGGAAGGTTCTCCAGAAGTTCTCGTTGTTTTGTCACTTCACTTGCGCGATTGACATTGCAGAAAAATAATGATCCTATTCCTGGCCAATGACATTAACTAATTTATTTCGTTTGGTTCAAAACGCATTTTGTAGCTTTCGATGCGCATTGAAACATTCTAGCTTACCAGTAATACCTGCTACTTGTTTTACGTAATCTGCTCTCGAGTGATCTATTACATCCAGTCGCACGCAAGCGTAACCTGTACCGTATCAAAATGCACGCAAGCATATGATTCACGGCACTCATCCCGCATGTTTTATGATCATGATCAACATTATTTATTCTCTATCCATTCCTAAGGTATTTGGTGAGATGTATGTCTGTCCTGTTTCTCGAGTTCGGTAGTATTTCCAATTGCATGCACCATCGACAATGAGCGTTCAGTTGTCATAACAGATCCCTAAGCAGCCAAAACGCTGTCATGCCATGGACTGAGTGTCTGTTGCACAGCTACAGACCACAGCTCTACTGTCGTGATGACTGACATTTTCATCTCGCCGCAACGTCCTTGCTCGTTTCATAAGACCCCTGAGAAAGTTTGCGCTCCTCCGCTGCGCTACTCTCATGACGTCCGGTGTGAGGGATCCGTTATGGGTCACAGGTCTGAGGCCCGCTGAGCCGGCGGGTCGTCGGCGCCGCGTCCGTGTGCGTCTCGCAGCCGGTAATGGAAGCACGACCGGCCGGCATCAGTCTGGTTTTTGCCAGGGCGGCACGAGACAGCCTTGTCCCAGTTACCGAACGGTGCTCACCACTCTGCGAAACGCCCGCCATCGACAAGACGGATCTGTGTGATCGGTTGGGATCTGGTGGAAGCGCAGAGGTAGTTCCTATTCAAACGGCCTGTTATGCAGGCACTTATCCATATACGGACACGGGTTCTCCTGTCCGTAACGCTGCTCAAATGCACTCCTGCGTTCGTCGTGCAGGGGACGGTCCTCAATTTTGTAGGGAATTATCATATGCCACGGCCTTAGAAGCTTTGCTTACTGGGTGTGTGTGTGTGGGGGGGGGAGGGGGGGGGGCGACTCGGATTAGGCGATTTTATTAGGAAACGGAAGCACATGCTTATGGTGAACTTGAACAGCAATGCAAAGCTGCTTCAGTTGGTTGACCTCCTTAGCCCATCTATTTACGGTATACGTTAAATCCCCTTGCAATTACGCCTATTTTGAGCTGAAACAAGTAGGTAAGCGTCTTATACGTGTCTGACTCATGTTCAGAATAAAACTGTTGTTCTTGTCACCAGGTTTATCATTTTAAAGCATAATCACACAGCAAAAACAGTTTTACGTCTCAGATAACAGAGATAGTAAGACAGTCACTGTACTTATATGCACAAGGACGAAACTTTGAATCCACAAATACGTAACCATGGAATTTAAGCAGACTCCCAAGCTCCTCACCTTCCCTCTCGTCACAGCCCGTTCGTCTTCTGTTCCGAAAGCAGACCGGACGTCCCGCGAACGACCAACAGCACACTCGGATATCGGCGGTCACGCGTCACTAATTCCCAGCTCGTGGCAGGTTTCATCCCCGCACTGACCTGATTCCCGTGCAACGCTCAGCTTTCTGGAAAATCGGCCAGCTGAGGCATTATGGTTTGTCGAAAGTGAACGTCAGACCCATATAGCGCCTTGAACTGATTCGGGATAGCTCAGCCACCTTTTTGTGTTTTTGTTCGGTTATACCCACAAACATTCGAAGCTGGTCAACTCATCCGATGTTTTCCTATCCGACAATATGTAGACATATTGATGACATCCTTGTCAGCAATCTGTTTTCCCTGCAAAATTGGGTCAATTTTAGTGGTTGAGGTCTAGTTCTATCGCTTTGGGGGCAGGCAACAGACGAGGAAAAATGTTTAACGATGGTGAAACTTTGCCTTTGGCAGGAGACTGCACACCTGGAAAGCTCAAATGACCTAATTAACAAAACCATATGCAAGAGCATATGAGTGATAGCTGAAACAAGCTAAGACTCGGGCTGGAAGAAGCTAATATTAGATCACCGTAGTGTTCTGATTACGGAAAACTCCCGCGCCATTCATTGTGTCATCATAGTAAACGATAGAATCGCGCTGATGCAGACCAGCCATTCCGTTCCATTGTACAGTCTGTCTTAAAAGTACCGCGCAAAGTGACGGTGGATCCATCAAGCCTGACCAAGCAAGGGCCTGCTAAATTTGAGTCACCGAAGCAATAGGAATGCGTGTTTTACTGCTAGTTAATTGCTGTTGTCGTCATTATTGTCTTAGTTTAGTTTTTATGCCCGTTTTAGTTCATGTGCATATGGAAAGTGTGAATGTCTTTTTATAGCACTGCATTTCACAACTTGACTGATGGCAAGGAACAGCCACTATGAGTGGATTTTCCTGAATAAATTGGTATCGGTATTGGTATTGGCAATTGACATCCTCGTCCATTCCTCAGGTCAATTGGTTCGGTGACTTTACAATTATAGCAGGCCCTTCCTCGGTCAGGCTTGATGGATCCATCGCACTGTTGCGCGGTGCTTTTGAGACTGACTGAAAAAGGAGAACGTTATCTTGTTCCCCTTATAGCTGCTCACACTTTCAGATGCAGGGGCCAAGCAAGTACTTCGTCAGAGTCGATGCTGATGTCATAATCCAATGGATCGATTAGTGCATCCGGCTGCATCTGTTCTATTTACGAATGCATCCCCTGCTGTCATTCAGTGACATGTCATTTTGTATACAAGTGCCGCCTTGCAGTGCCGGTCCTGACGGTCACGCCTGGGCCTTTGTGCTGGCCATGCACTGTGTTTATGCACTGTGCACTCTGCAGACCCTGTCCGGTCGATGGGCCCGCCCTGGTCGCTGCTGCTGGCTGGCTCGGCACTAGCCATGAAAAGAGAGCAACGACTGCAGCTCGGTCAGATCTGATCGGCCAATGTCACGCATTGCGCAATGCGGCCCTGCCTCTCCCGACTCGAGGTGTGGCGTGGTGCAATCGGACCGACAGCCCACTGTCGTGGCTCGGCTCGTGGTCGCCGCCCTGCGCTCTCGTTGGGTAACGGCCCGTGTCGATGATCAGCCCTCCAAAGCGCACCTGTTGTCAGTACTGCGCACTGTGCAGCCTCCGCAACGAAAACAGCCTAGCGGCAGGTCAGACCCTCATGGGACCGGCGGCGAGTCTCACAGCGGCCGGCCCGCGGCGAGGGCGCCGAGAACATTAGGCCGACCATAACCAGCATCTATGTGTTGTGAGATGCTACACCGCGCCGGCCCGCGTCGGGTCGGGCCGGGTCGGCGCGCGGCCGGGCCGTCAGCTGCAGTTGATTGCACCGGCCCGGCCCGAGTGGCAAGCACCAATCGGCGTCGCTGGGTCAGTAGGACGTATTACTCCATCGCCGGCGCGACGGTGTAAAAACGCGGACCTTGGTATCGGAGACGGTGCGCGCGCGCGCGCCGCGCCGTGGCGGAGGAGCGGCTGCGGTCCCTTCTCCTGCCAGCGGGTGCGCGCAGTGCGAGCAGACAGGCCGGACGTCGCACGCCGGGAGAGGTGCCTTCGGCCCCTGAGATACGAGCCGGCACGTGGTCGGCGCGCATACCGGCACCGCTTAGCAGTCGGCTGCACCGTCGGACGATGTGGCAAGTGGGCGCTCCCCTGCACCTTTTCTGCACACTCCCCTCAGCCCCCTCTGTCGGGGGGGGGGTCGCAGTGCCTCCAGCCGACCGTGACGCCTATCTGCTGCGTCAATGGTGACTATGACTGCAACTCCCTTGTGAAACGGAGCACTCGGCGTGATAATAGCGCCCGTCACGGTACACCGCTGCGCTCAGGTCCGGTGACCGTGAGAGTTCGTGACCGTGAGGCGGGGGACGGGCTGGTGTCGGGCGTCAGTTGCGGCCCCGGACAGAGGATGACGTCCAAAGGGTGACGTGAAAGGGGAGAAGTTCACCGAATAACGCCCGATCATCGGGAACGGCCGGAGCTATTGCCGCCGCCGGCCCGGGCCGTTTGAGGCAGCTCAGGGTCGCCCGTCGCCCGCAGCCGGTGTTAACCGTAAGACGAACAGGGGATAGAGTGCCAACGCTCCCCAATTATCGTGCAGTGGAGTAAATGGTACGTCAGGCTGTTGAATTTATGGGTATGAGAGGACATAAAAAGACTCAAACGGGGTGGGACTGTCACGGTCAAGGTTCATGAGGATGATGGAAGTTCTGCCTGAGCGTCGTTGGCCTCACGTCATGCG